TGGAAAAAAATAGAAAAGTATCAAGATTTAGCACGAGACGTACAGAAACTATGGAATATGCGAACGAAAGTAATTCCTATTATAATAGGTGCACTTGGGACAACCCCAAAGAAACTTTCCAAAAGATTAGATGACCTTGGAATAGGAACACGAATTGTTGAACTGCAGAAAACTGTTATCATCCACTCTGCAAGGATCCTCCGCAAAGTGCTTGAAATTTGAGGAGTCTTGTTGACACCAAGTTTCAAGCTGTTATCACCACTGACAAAGACAGTGTGCGACACAATCAATAATGATAATAATAATAATAATAATAATAATAATAATAATAATAATAATAATAGTAATAATGATAATAATAATGCTGATAATAATAATAATAATAATAATAATAATAATAATAATAATAATATTAATGATAATAATGATAATAATAATAGTAATGATATTTTTAATAATAATAATAATAAAAACGACAGTAAAAATAGTAATGATAATGATAATAATGATAATAATAATAACAATATTAGTAATAACGATAACAAACGTGATAACAATGATAATAGTGATAATAAAAATACAATGATAATAATATTAATAACAGTAATAATAATGATTATTATAACAACAATTATAATAACAATAGTAATGATAGTAATACTATGAATGATAACATTAATAATTATAGTAATAATAACAATAATAATAGTGATGATATTAATAAGAAAAAAAATAACATTAATAATGATAGTGACAATAATGATAATATGAATAACAACAACAATAATAATAAAAATGATAATAATGGTAATAGAAATAATAACAATTATAATAATAATGATAATGATAATAACAATAATAATAATAGTAATAATAATGATGAAAAAACACTAATAACACTGATAATGATAATGATAATAGTAGTAATAATAATAAAAAGAAATAATGGTAATAATGATAATGATAATAATAATAATTATAATAATAATAATAATAATAATAATAATAATAATAATAATAATAATAATAATAATAATGATAATAATAAAAATGGTAATAGAAATAAGGACATTGATAATAATGATAATAATATTAATAATAGTAATAACCATAAAAACACTAATAACGATAATAATGATAATGATAATAACAATAATAATAATAATGATAATAATAATAATAATAATGATGATAATCATCATCATCATCATCATCCTCATCATCATCATCATCATCATCATCATCATCATCATCATCATCATCATCATCATCATCATCATTATCATAGTAATAATAATAGTAATAATAATAATAATAATAATAATGATAATAATAATAATAATAATAATAATAATAATAATAATAATAATAATAATAATAATAATAATAATAATAATAATAATAATAATAATAATAATAACAACAACAATAATAATAATAATGATAATAATAATAATGTTAATAATAATAATAGTAATAATAATATTAATAATAATAATGATAATAACAATAATAAAGATAGTAATGATAAGAATAGTAATAATAATAATAGTGATGATGATGATAATGATAATGATAATAATGAGACTAATGGTTATGGTAATAGTAATAATAATGATAATAATGATACTACTGCTAATAATAACAATAATAATAATAATGGAGATAATAATAACAACAACAACAACAACAATAATAATAATAATAATAATAATAATAATAATAATAATAATAATTATAATAATAATAATAATAATAATAATAATAATAATAATAAGAAGAAAAACAATAAAAACAACCACAGTGATAATAATAATAATAATCATCATGATAATATTATGAGGACGATAAAGAAAATACTTATGGAGCAATTGTGTTAGGCTTACTATTAGTATATTTTGCAGTGATAGTAGAGCCATGCACTGACATTTTAAGGAAGCCTAATAATACTAGCATTCGGAAAGGAAAGTGTTATTTATGAGTAATAGGATTCCCCCTTTTGGATGTAATGACGTCACGCCTCATCATGACGTCAAATGTAAATAAACACTGATTTACAACTGACACATTTTGTTTTCTTTTGTGCAAGTTTTGTTTATAGTAGCACCTTGGTTGATTGGAGGATTCTTCTGGGATATATTTTTTTACTTTTTCGGTAACTACTGACAATACTATACCTGTTTTATCATATGGTATCATGACTGACTATCCTATTCGTATAGAAACAAACCTTGAAGGGTTGTCAAGTTATTTCGAGAATTCACAATCATAATAACCTGAAAAATCTTCTTGTTATTATTCTACATCACGTTAAATATTCTCCTAAACATTCGTATGTAATGTAAATCCCTTTACGTATTCATCTAAGGTAAATAAAGGCGTTGCGGCAAAGTACAATACCCTGCGCAAAAGTTCAAACTGTGCTGGATGAGTATAAACAGCTTGGCGTGCGTTCCGAAGGTGACTCAGAGAAGACGACGCACCTGACACTCACCTGACACTCGGTCGGGCATTTAAAGAACTGACACTGGACTTTTAACGGTAAGTCTGAGAGCTTGGGGGAAATTGTCAAGTAAGTATTATAGAATATTAAAGTTTTCACAACGGGTGTTTAGCTGATGAGTAGGATGTCTTTACCGTAATAACCATTAGTGAAAATAAGATAAAGTAAGACATATACCGTCATGATCCGTTAATGATCCGAAAATGGTTGATACTAATGTTGTTTGGTTTGAAATAAATTGTATTTCATATATACTGTTCAGAGTTAGTAGTCTTAACCCTTTGAAACAAGCTATAGGGACAATAAGAGCTCTAGTTAGAGTGATGTGACAATAAAGTGAACTCTAGAGTTTCTATGTCTATCGGCAATGAGGCAAAAGTCCAAATAAACCTTTACTTTATGAATTGCAGCATGATAGAGCTAGTAGACTCCCTCGGTAAATTATCTTCATATAAGTCCAAGATCTGTTTTGCCAGAATATATATGTTAAGATATTGCTTATTTTTCCTGTAGTGATGGATTGACAATATGCTACTGATATAACATACATATAACATACCTCCAAACAAATGAGTTATAAGCAGGAGAGCCCTTAGGACTTGTGTGTGTAATTGTTTAGGTAAAAGATCAGAGGCAGTTATCAACTTGAGTGAAAGAATAGATGAACCACATCCTTAAGCCAATGCTGACGGGCATGACATGTATGTACTTGCTATGCTAAGTCACCAATGAGCCAATTACAAGTACTGCCTGTCCTGCCCATTTACCCTTTTCTTTGATTTACGAAAGCATTTTACCTTATCTTATTTTGTTGTTACTAATGTTTATAACATTGTAGTAATTATGATGTTTATAATAAAAGTAACACCATCGATATTCGTAGCATTAGTAAAAAATACATTTTTCCCGCCAATTCAAAATGATCACAGCATGAGCACAGCATTTTCTCCATTTAAAAAAAAAAATTCCTGGCAGCATTGGGTTAAAGCAAAATCCACCATAGAGAATGCTGTAGGAATCAAAAACCATCCTAATCCCCTACTGATCTCCGTATTCCTGTAGCTGGGAAAATCCCCATCTGAATGCCATTTTTTCCAAGCTGGTGTGGGTCTTTTTTTATGCACTAGTTATTATTTGTGTGATATTAGTGCTTTTGGATAGATTTAAAGTTCATGACAGTGTGACTTTCATGCCTGACAGTAGAGCTGATTATTTTGTGAAATCTGAAACATATTTGATAAATAGCATTTCTTATGTAATAAACATTTGATACAGAAATATATCTATAGTAGCTCTTGCAAATTTGACCTGATCCTTGTGGCGTACAGCCACAAGCCACTTTTCGAGCATTTTTTTCTCATGCCTAGTGGCGTCATCTGTCATGAAGGCGTTAATGCTGTAGTCTTTAAGCATAATCGAGTGAGAAGTAGGCAGACTGTACTAAACACAACTCATGTTTCATGCAAACTGAATTAGAGTAGACAGAAATTATTTAGTGCCTTAAAATAAACCTCTTCTAAATTGCTTACCTGCATCACGTTATAAAATGTGTAGAATGTAAGGCTTAAACACATAAGTATGAAGATGGCAAAATGAAATGAACTCCTGCCATGTATTCTACCTGATCAAATTATTTATTTGATATTCCTATATACTTCTTATATTAGCTGTTTGATCTATTTGAATATTCAGTCTGGAAATCAGTTGCTCTAAGAATGACATCATGATATTGATATTATGATATTAACCCCCAGACATCTTATTTGATTTAAATGTTTTTCTTTTTTATATACTCGCCACTAAAATTACCTTACCAGGTAATTGTATGCAAGAGAATAGCATATAATATACATCTCTCAGCAGACTTCAGAGGGGGTACCAAAGTCAGGGTATCTCAGGCTATGATGAAAAGAACTGTTCTGCTTTTTTTACCTCTATTATGTGGTGCTTCATAATTTGCATGAAGATATTTTCATTGTACTTATGATTGTGTATAATACTAAGGATTATTGGTTTCAGGAATCGTAAAGCACTGTATTATTTACAACAGACAATATGGATGGGGATGACAGTATTGTGAGTATTCTTTTCTTGAATAGATTACATCTGAAATATATATTGCTTTTTCCCTTTTTAGTGACAGTATGATTACATTTATATATTTTTACTACCATTTATTTACATTACATTCTTTTTCTGTTAGATCTTGCTAATTTGAAAACCATTTAACAGACAGAGGATGAATGGACATCTATGAAGAGGCGATTCAGCCTTGAAGGGTTGGAATGGGAAACGCAAGATCAAAACATGAAAACTCTTCAAGTGTGGCGGTTGCTAGTAGATGCCGAGGCCAATCTAAAAGCAGTACGACACATAAATGATAAGCTGAGGAGACAGCACGATCAAGAAAAGGAGGTATGAATTTATATATAAGGTATTATTGCTTTTTTAAGGAGATTTTCTTAAATCATGTAATGACTTAATTTTTTTCTGCCTGTCAGAGAGTGAGAAAAAGATCCAGTTTTAATTTTTACATAGGAACATCTGAAGTAGAGAATTTTATTTTATTATGAGACTGTATGAATAATACTAATAATATACCTAATAGCAAATATTTTGGCTATGAAAAACAAGATTACCTTTGTTTCAACTATCATGTTGTCTACAAGCACGTCTCTTTTTTTGACATACAAAAGCAATAGATTCTCTTCCTAAAATGGTAAGTGCAGAGAGCAGTATGTGTAAGTACTGTTCCCATCTTTCACATAAGATCCAATTGCATACCATGTTTACCCAATGCCCACAAATAAATTGAACCTTTTACTCAAAATAAAATGGCTTTGATATCACATGCCACTGCCTTTGAGGTGACCTGCTTGCTGTTTTTTTTTTGTTTGTTTTTGTTTTGTTGAACAGAACACACTTGAAAATATGAGCTTAATAATTTTTTTTTTACAGCATTATGATATTACATAAATTTGTACAAAAAATTTATACTAAATCAATGATTGTATACATAAATGTGTAAACTGAGTTATATTGATGTATTTCAAAGCATCCTATTACAAAGTATTAGCAAGTTACATTTTGTTTAATATTTTACTGAAATCTACTTTATCCAATAGATTGCTTATTTCCTAACACTTCCAGCTGGTGGTTTGTTGCTATGATCCTCTTACTCTCAAGGAAAACCTGATACCGTACTAAAACACAGTACTAAGTCAGCAGTTGTCAAGCTTCACCACTTGTATGAATCCCAACAAATTGCATAAAAGGCTTGCTTGTTCGAGTTTCACTAAAGCAAATTTAGGTTACAGGCATTTGAAGAGTTCAATATTATACACAGTAGAATATATATTTCACTGTCATACCTCAAATACAATGAGTGCCAGTAGAGCTCATAATTCCTCATATGAAAATGAAAATGGAGGAGAGAAACAATGAATATGTAAATAAAATGTATAAAATCTGATGTGTATTTAGATATATTTTTAAGTTTTGAGATATGATATGTAATAGTATGTGAGAAAAAAAAAAAAAAAAGTGTATGACTGGATAAAAAATGTTATACAGCACCAGAATTACTTTCTCAAATTCACTACTTTTCATTTACAAGAAAAGAGAGATAGGAAAATTTGACTCTGTCCTCTAGAACTGCCTTCTGAGACATACTATATATCACGCAGAAGAAAATAAAAGTGGAAAAATATAATTAATTAAACAGTTTTTGGCAGGCCATTTCAACTATGTTATAAAAGAGACAAGAAATGATTCCCCCCCCCCAAAAAAAATTCAATTATGCTATAAAAGAAACAAGAAATGATTACCCCCCCCCACACACACACACAAAAAAAAAGTCAGACAAAACCCACTCCACCCAAGGTTGGATTGAAGGAGTCAAAAAAAAAAAAAAAAAAAAAAAAAAAAATCTGTAATCTATAATAGAGCCATTTGTGTTAACTGTATATAGTTAAAGATCAAAATTAGGTCTTAGAATAGAAGACTAAATTAATTATAATTTTAAATTGCATTTTCTTTACATACATTGTGGTCAGAATAATATGACCTTTGAAAATACAACACTAAATCTTGATTTCTTTGGTAAGATTGAGAACAATAAAGTAGTTCAGAATAACATGAAAAGTGAAATTCCAGTTTGAATCCTGTTAGAATTGAACACCAGATGAATATTTATGCTTAACTATTGTCTTGTTGACGTATAAGGTAATATTTCCCAGATCAGAGTTAGCATGACCCATATGCATACTGTCTCTTCCAGGAACTCGAGGAGTACACTGAACACCTCCGACAAAAATGCGAAGAAAGAGTAAAGGAATTGGATAACGAAGTGAAGACTCTCAAGGAGGATCTGGAGGCCCTCCTTGCTGGAACACAGGCGGTGGGAACGATGCTTCTGAATGAAGGGCTGGAGGACGTAGCTCAGAGCACCCTGGGAGAGCAAGTACGTGTGACGTGACCTTGCTCTAAAACCTTGATGTGATTAACAGATACGAGAAAGTATCATATGCTTGTATTTTTTTTTGGGGGGGGGGAAGGGGGACTTGGGAGAATTCTAGGTGAAATGGTTTGTGAAATTGAATGTTCTTGTAATATTAACTTGTAAAAAAAATTGTATCAAAGATTCAGAGGTTCGTAAATCTAAGGACCATGTCCGTATTTGTTACTTCTGCATCTCAGTAGAACTGTGCTAGATGCAGTTTGTGTAGTGCACACTCGGAATTCTCCACATGAAGAATGGTGATGAGCATATTGCTGACCAGTAAGTAGTAAGGGAATGTTATGATTACTTACCTGTAATGCAAGACAAAATGTTGCACACATTGTTGCATAGCATGATCAAAATTCTCACTTGGTATAACTTTATTTCTTTTCCACAAAGTTTATGGAAACTTACTATTGTTGTGAAGTTACTCTTCAGAATTCTTTTAGATTAGTATTGAGTGCAGATGGAATAGAATATCTCAATATTTATTATTTCAGTGAACAGTTTCAGTGACATGCTGTATTAATAATTTCGGTAATAATGATATAAAATAATCATTATAATTTCAACGGAAGGTAATACATGTATTTATGTTATTTATTTTGCAATCGCTGTACACTTACAATAAGTGCTTTTTATTGCACATGCACAATTAAGGGAAGTTCTTTATTAATGTTAGTCACAATATTATGAAGAAATTTAGCCTGGTAACCGACACTAAAAAGACCAAGCAACATAACCTGGTAGTGTAGCAATAATATATGATTTTTTTCCCTTTGGGTTTTTAGAGTTCACAGCAAATATTGAAATTTACAACTAGATGACCATGAAAGTGTGGTTGAATTTTTTTTTCATTGGCTGTTGGAATGATCTCTCCTAGTGTGGCACATACATAGAATTTGAGTGAATTGTGTTTCACAGAAAAATTGCATTTTATGTATTGTGATTTTATTTTGTCTGAGTTATTATTTTTTTTTTAGGCCTACAGTAGCCTCATTTTTATCAAACTGATGATTATCATCAAAATCTTGATCAGTCTTTTCATTAGAGTCATGGTCATCCTTACAGATATTGCTATAATTAGTTTGTTTTCTTTTTTATTTTATTTATTATTTTTGGGATTATTTGTAATATGGTTTTAGCTTCTTTTGTCTGCTTACTGTAGTTTCTTTTGGTGTGTATTATTATAGTGAACTAGCATATAGAGGTAGAATTAGTATTATACTCCATAACTATCCATTCTTCTACTTTATTAAATTTGGTCCAACAGCAATATAATGCTTTTTGTATTCTACTTGTTCAATCAGATAGCCTACCTACTTGTAGAAAGGGCAAAACTGAATGAAGAACTCATAGCTGCTAGAACCAAGCCTGCATCAGACAGGGAGAAGGAACTGACTACACAGCTTATTAAGGTAAGGAAGTCAGGTCTAGGGAGAACTAGCTAAAGTATTAAATGTGCAGATTGTTTTACTATACCGATTATAATGGGAATCAGTGACTTAGACTTATTATTATTGATGTTGAGTATTGTTAGCCCATGATGTGTATATGTATAAAATTCACAATGAAACTTCTAGTGTACGTATAGAGCAATTTTTTTCTTTTTATATTTCAAGGAAATTTAACGTGTTTTTTAAAGCTATATTGAAAATTGTAAAGGAATTAACACACACAAAGAATACTCACTAACATGATGCAAATACATATTACTCTGAGTAATTTATTTATATATTTATTTGTTTCTTTTGTATTTTCCTCAGGTTAGCACAGACTACGAGCTGCTTAAACGAACACAGCAGGAGTCCGAGGAAAAGCTGGCAGAGATGACTGACAGGGTGTCATTGCTGGAGAAAGCCTCGCGGCAATTAGAACTAAACAATGAGTCTTTAGCCTACAAGGTTCGTATAGAAGTGGTTTAGTATTATGTTTCCTATGGATTTATTTTCAGTGCATAAAGATCCCCTGCTCCTTCCTGAACTTACATAGTCTATAAGAAATATGGTTTGTGACTAATGTACTCCTAGAAGGCAGTGCTTAAGGTTCAGATTCTTTAAAAAGAGCAAAGGAAACAATGTAGAGTTGCTTTAATTGATAAATATCCTTTTAATGTATATACCTAAATGTGAGTGATTTTCTGGCATTGTAAAAAAAAAATTCTAAAACATTTAGATATTTTGATATCTAAATGTTAAACCATTTAGATGGAATTGTAATTGAACAAGCCTTGAAGATCATTCACTCTGACCTCCTTTTTATTTATTTATTTATTTTTTAGAGGATACCTCTGTATCTATGTATTACAAAAACAACAACAACGCTTGTTTGTTGAAAATTCTGTGAAACACAGAAAGAAAGGAGTTAATAGTACTTTTATTGGTTCTTTTCTCATTACAGCAGTGTTTTATCCCTGTATCTGAATGCTTATGCCTGTATGTATAGCAATTAATCTGATGGAAGTAGGGACTAATACCATCTTCTGTAAGGAGTCAGAAACTTACTCTAACAGTAATTAAGGCTTGCTTGAATTGGCCATGCTAACCTCCCTTATTTTTAGCTATCCGAGGCCTTAGCCGAAATAGAGGAAAATGAGAACCAACTGCGCCTGTATAGTAAGAGTGAGTGTGGTATGGAACCTCCTTTGTAAGCAAAAAAATAAAAAGAAAGAAAAAGAAAAGCACTTTTTATTTTCTTTTTTTGGATGCCATTTATGCTTTTTTTGTTGTTTGTCTGGGTATTTTTTTAGTCTTTTGTGTGTGTGTTTTTTTTTATTTACAGATTTCATGTTTGGTGGTTATGATTATTTTTGCTTGCTATTTTCCAGCATGTTTATTGCTTTCTTATTTTTTAATTTGGTTCTAAAACATTGTTTATGGTTTATGCTTGCATTTTGGTAATTTTACATCATTTGCCTATATTTATGGTCAATTTTATTTATTGTATATAGACATTGAGCACACACTTTCCCTCACTGATGATTTGACACCTTCCTT